AATTACCCCAAAGTTTCTATTAATAAGATTCCTAGCCTTTATCGATGCACCCTTTCCCATAAAACTTAGCATTTGCCCTTAATTACATTTGCTTGATTATATTGCTGTCTTAGAGTTTCTTACTGTATCTAACTCTTGGTTCCTCAATGAGTTTATAAATTCCTTAAAGTCAGACTCCTGATTTCTTACCCTTTAGTTTTTTTCACAGATCCTAACATAGTGGCAATTGCATAGCAGATGATACCCAACAAGTAATTGTTAATTGGATATGACTTGCTTCCAAAATAGGAAGAGCTGGTGCTGTAAGGAAATATCATGTTTGGTTTTATATTTAAGTTTCTGAAGCATCAGTTGTTTAGCCAGGTTCTCATCAATAGCCTACCCATCCTTCCCCCTCTTACAGCCCTCCCCACAGATTTATTTTCCTTGGGCAATCCCATGTAACCCTAGAACCAATCCATCCTACCACACGTGAAGCTCCTGTCAAGTGCTCCACTTTCTAGTCGATGACTTCTCTTATTTCCTACTTATTTATCCTAATGCATTGTCCTTTTGACCCAAAGAATTATCTAATGGTTTTTACAGAAGTTGTGCATAAACGTAACCTCCCTCAATTTAACCATAATAGTACTTAGTATATCTTCAAACCACTTTTCAGGCAATGACTAATTCACTGCTTTTTAAAGAACCCCTGCTAAAGAGTTAAGCAACTGAATCTCCAATGGAAAGCTGGAGAGACAGAATCCATGGGCTAAGCATTGACCAACATCCCTGAGGAAGTCACTGCGTCAGACTCTGTGAAGGTTCCAAATGCTAAGCTCCTCCTGTCAGGCTCACTTCATCCCTCACCTCCTGCATTCATTTTGACTGACTCCACATTAGATACAAAACACAATACTAGCGGAGTTGGCTCCAAGAGGCTCCAATTGGGAAACTTTCAATGGAGTAATTCTCTCCTTTTTTTTTTTTTTAGATTTCATTGGGGAATCAGGGAAGGGGAACAGACAAGTTGCTGTCCTTTTGTTCGTCTAGTTGTGGAGGACGTCGCTTCACTGGCCCATGTTGGTATTATCATTGTGCTCTTCCTGGGTGAGACAGATTGGTCGCCGGCCACTGGATGGCCACTCACAGCAGCTCTTGGCAGCTCACGTTGGCTGCAGGCTGCCCACATCAGCTGCCAGACACTCATGGTAGCTTATGGCAGCCCACTGCAGTTCCACTGCAGCCTATGCCATCGCTGGCTACTCATGGCAGCCCTGTTCCAGGTCGAGCTGTTGTTCACCATCTTAGCTGTAGAGGGCGCAGCATCACTGGCCCTAATGTGGGATCCAAACTGGGGCCCTGCTGCCCAGAGCTGGTGTCCCAAGCCAACTCTTAAGCAACACGCCAATCGGCCGGTCCTAATTCTCTCCATTCTTAATGGTGAATTTACCCTTTCCAGAGCATAAAGATGGACCTTGCCTATTGAGCTCATGTAGAAATAGAATTTCATGTTTTGTGACATGAAATTAATGCACATGTCAAGGAATTCCTTACTCTCCTATAATTGTTTAATGGTATTCAGACATCCAAATTTGAGGATAGAAAGCAATGACTGCTGCTTCATAGAGTTAACAAGCTAACAAATTATTCTACCATTCAAGAATCAAAACATCTCTTCATAATAAGGTACAGCTCACATGAAACACAAAAATACCTTTTTGGAACACAGCAGTCCTCTCAAGATTCAGCCAAAAAGGTAGCTTGCCCCCTGAATAATTTGTAAATCTAAAATATAATAGGAGAGACATACAGGCTTAATAAACATAAGCCTAACCTTTCATGTAAATTCCATTTACTGTATACCTATAGCAACTGGTAACCTTCTGACATTCTTATCTCATAAACTTTTTGTTTTCTATCCATCTGTTAAGTATTAAACGATGTCAGTTCTTCCCTCCCAACTCTAGATTTATCCCCATCACACTAGACTAAATAGAACTAAATTCAATTACTGCATTAAGATGTATTCTGCCTTACTGAAGAACAAAATATCTCCTTTTTACCTTAAATCAAAAGGCATGCTTGAACTATGTCCCTCCTGATAACTGCAGCTTCTGAGACAGAAGAGGGAAAGCAGGAGTGACATACATTTCTTCTTATGTACTTCCTATAAAATTTGCACTTAAGAACTTAAATCCCTCCATCCAGGAGATCGTCAGAGGTAGCTTAAGAATGCTCCTAGTTTGGCCACATTTGTACCATGTGAAATCTAAGAAAGCAAACTTGTGATATGCTGGGACACAGTTTGAGGGTCCCCAAATGGACATGATGGGAGTAAAAGCTTTGTACAGAAGAATGCCACTCTTCTGGCCAGTAAACGTTTGAGGGTTGAGTGGGCAGAGTATATAGAGAGAGGATGAGACGAATGAACATCAGCTTTAGTGGTTACCCATCACATATGAGAAGACAAGACCCTACCTGATATGAGCCAAGGGAAGGTAAGAACGTGCCCTGCCCAGCAAGCTCCCATCCTAGTCCACACAGCCTGACATTGGACAATCAGAGTCATTCCTCCAAGACAAGGCATTACTATACCTACGTAATAGAAATTCTTAACAGAAATAAGCTACAGTGGCTCTTTTGCCATAATAAACCAGCAAATTCAATTCGTACTGTTCAGAGGCCACCAAGCTGTCTCGCCCCGAGCCATGACAGGAGTTACAAATGGACTGGTAGGGGATGAGGGGCTTTCGTCTGTGGGCTAACCACTGGGGCTGGGTGTTGGTTGGCATGGGAATAAATGACATTTTTAGATATCATTGCTGAAAGACAGACAAGAAATACTTGCTTTGTAATCAAAGTATGGAATAGTTTCCTTTTAAATAATTATTTTAAAGTAAAAAAGAAGATTATGCATGGCAAAAATCATGAAAGCCACATCTAGATGCCTGGAGTTTGGGAAACACTGATATTAAGGAAAATGATGCTCTGGAAGGTGGCATAGATTTACCTTTCATTTCCTGCCCAATGACCCTCACAAACCTTTCTCTAGGGCCAGCCTCAGGCATTGCAGCTGGAGACTGGAGCTCCTACCCAGTTATACCGAATCCCCAAGAGAGGCCTGCCTCTGCCCACCTCACCCCCAGGGCAGGCACCCTCCAGGGTGTGGGCCAGAAGACTACAGGCTTCTGATAAGCCCTGGGGCTCTGCAGTCCTGAGGCTCGGTCCTAATCAGAAGACTCCATAGCTCCTCACAGAGGAAGTAAGACTCAGTGGGAATCGTCTTATGTGTAAGTGCCTGTAGGCGAGAATGCCCAGCAAGGACTCCCTTCCACGAGCAGACTGAGCCTGCAGGTCCTGGACTGTGTTTCTCGGGCCCACTGGGGTTGCAGTCAACTTGGAACTGCCACAGGGTGTTCGCGAATGGGCCATTTGCAGGAGGCAGAGCACAGGCAGCCCCTGGGTTTCTGATGGTGATCAGAGCACCAAGAAGGGACTAATTTAAAAACCAAACAATGTAGTAATTGCCCCTGGTCACCAGGCGGCCTTGCTTTGGAAGGCCGCTGTTTCCGATTAGTGGGGCCTGGATCTGATGAGGACTAACAAAGTGTAACGAATGATCAAAGTGACAGTTACAACAGTGCGAGTGCCCAATGATTGATCTGGATGACATAATAATGGTAACCAATGAGGTGAGGCGGGTGGTGGTCCCCTCCAGGTAAGGATGGGGGTGGGCCCTGGACAGGTCAGGACTTTTCTCTGTTTAGGGAAAAGGAAGTCATAGGGGGGAAGCAGAGGCACGTGGAAGGGAAGGAATGAAGCGCTCACACCTGAAATTTTGGATGGACGGAAAAAAAATTGGTCAGCCATGGCTGAGAAATGAGATCCTTGTTCAGAGGCGGAGATAAAGATCACCAGTCCTGGAATATCACTGACCCAACTATTAGGGCACAGCACAAAATCATTTACTGTGAGAAAACTCAGCTCTCTATAAATAATTTAAATTTTAAAGGGGCTCATTTTAAAGTTATTTTTGATAGTCATGTTTTCTGAATAGCAGAAGAATTACCTCTTGAAAAACCAATAAAAGCAGGGTCTCAAATTGACACTTGCACACCCATGTTCATAGCAGTGCAATTCACAAAAACCAAGAGGTGGAAGCAACCCAGCTGTCCACCAACAGATGAATGGATGGCAAAATGTGGTGTATACGTACAATGGAATCTTATTCAACCTTAAAAAGGGACAGGAATCCTGTCACATGTAACAACATGGATGAAACTCGAGGACATTCTGCTAAGTGAAATACGCCAGACATAAAAAGACAAAAAATGTATGACTCCACTTATATGAAGTATCTAAAGTAGTCAAATTCATAGATACAGAAAGCAGAATAGTGTAACCAGGGCCTGGGGAGAGGAGGAAAATGGGAGTTACTGTTTAATGGGTATAGAGTTTCAGTTTTGCAAAATGAAAAAGTTGGGTTAATCTGTATCACAACAGTGTAAATATACTGAACACTCCTGAACTGTACAATTAAAAATGGTTAAGATGGTAAATGTTATATGATTTTTTAAAAGTAGAGCCTGACAGATTTATTTTCATTTGGATAAAATTAATTTTTCAATACTATATATCTCCTGTTTTCTCAAGTAGAATGTGCCCGATCTAATTTGACTCCTTATTTGGAAGTTCAAATATTGCACAGGGTAATAGAAGCGGGTTGACTCCAAAACCTGTGGAGGTAGGTGGTAGTATTTGCCCCTAGACAAATGGCCCCAGAATAATGAATCTTTGTAGTTCTACAGTCTGTGTCTCATGGGTTTTATGCTGCTTTCGTTGTCAGGCTCTCAATTCTCACTTCTTTTCTGTGAGCTAGTCTCTGACCTCCTCCAAATTTATCGAGGAAATGAGGAAATATGTTATTAGACACATTAATTCAAGTTTTGCATAAAATAAGGAAAAAAGATGCAGAATCATGGACCAAAATGTCCTCCTAATCACCTGAGCTTCAGTACCTGGTCTTGGGCACTCACTCCAGCTTTTCTCTTCTTGGGAGCCTGCTCTGCTTACCGTTGTCCACCTTCGCACAGGGTTTGGCGTGGGCACTGCTGCCAGCTCCAGAATCGTGGGTGGGGAAGGCAGAGGTTTATTATCAGCCCGGCAATCATAGGCACAAATATATCAACTCATTCTGATCAAAATTAAGAGACACTGTGACAACATAAATCCACCTTCTAAGAAAAGACTGCCCAATTTTCTTCAGCATAGAATCAATGTTATTAATATTTCTAGTCTATCATGCTACTTTGTTTCTTATTGAATAAGAAAAAAAAATGTTTTCTATCCTTAAGAAACAAAGATTGGTATTTTTTAAAAGAGCATATTCTCAAGAACTTTTCAGGCCTTCAGGTATGCTCAGTGGAGAAAAATGAGATGTGCTGTCATTCCTGACCCGATCTACTGATGGTTCCGCAGGCTGAGATCTGCTGTTGACTTTCACGTTTTTGAAAGTTTGTTCTGAAGCTCCAATGAAAGGCGCTGCCTTACCGAGTGTGAGCCTTAGGACTCCAGGCATCTCACACCATAGCTTTTGTATTCTGCCTCTGCTCCTGGGCCAAAGGCATGTCCTTCCTGCTCATTTCCATCTGGAGGCTGCAGACACACAACAGGGGGAGAAGCGGAAGCAGGACAAGAAATGGACAGCTGTGTCCCCACTGGCAGGGGATGTTAGTCACAGTCTCACCTCCCCACCACATGAGCTCACTGGGCAGCCCCAGCTCTTTGCAGGAGGGCAGCCCAGCAGCCAGGGACAGAGTGTAGGAGGAGGACCAGGTGTGACCTCACTGCAGCACTCACTAGCCCTGCGCATCACCCTCCACCTCTCCGAGCCCCCATTTTTCCATCTTTTAAATGGCTCCGCCTTCCTGCTTCTCCTGCAAGTTTACCAGAAAGATCCACTAAGCCATAGCTGTGAAAACACACTGCTGCTAAGTGTTAGGTTCCTACACAAATGTGAGGCCTTTTTTGCTGATTACCATTTGGCAGATGCAAAGCCTTGCGCTGTTGACACAACTGTCCTTTACAGCACTTGGCAGTTGGGGCTTTGCTGACAAACCGGGGAAAGGTGGGAACATTTGCCTCTAGCTTCAGTTTTCAAACAAAGTTTAAAGGTTTTTCACAAAACTCACCACATGAGGTTGCCTCGGGTTTTGCATATCTCTTGCCCTCCCTGGCCCACTTTCCCTGAGCTTCTTTGCAGGCTTCTCTGACCCCTCTCTGACCTCTTTCCACTCCAGCCCTCTTTCAAAACAAACCAATAGGTAAGCCAGCATAATTTCTCTTTGTAATAATCCAAATGCAGTTTCCAGGAGACTGGCACGTCGTGACAAAAAGATCTATCGCTCTGCAGCCTATGTTTCTGGAATGTCTCTGTCCAGCCTGGTCAGGGGCAGAAGCACAGGGTCCCACCCCTTGAATCAGGGTGATGCCAGGCTGACTGCAGTCACCCAGATCCCCAGGCTGACTCTGATGTCAGTTCAGGTGTTCCTCTGAACAGCCTTTCATTGTCACGCTATTTTCCTGACGGGTCTTGGAAAATCATTAGGAGTGACAAAATATTTTCCAGAGCTCCAAGATTTTTCTTCCTGGCGACTTTTAAACCTCTCTGAGCCTCCATGTTCCGTCAGTGCCCACCCTGTGGGGCTCCAAGCATATTCAACTTAATTAGTTTTAATGCTTTAACTGTTTAAATAGTTAACAGTAGAACTTAGACTTCAAGCCACCCCCCACCCGCCACCCTCCACAATTGCCTGTGTGTCTGAGGTTGTCAGATCAAGATGGAAAAATACCTCTAATTGTTTCCAGACAATACATAAGCCTCTCACTCTGGGTGAGAATAAGTATAACTTACATTTTCACAAAAGATCTCGGGGAGGCCCGTGGGAGATTCCTGCAAGCCAGGCTTCTTTATACATTCCAGTCCACTGGAAAATAAAACCCAGTTTTCAAACCTGAACCATGAGATTTCACTTCCCCTCGATCATTCCTAGATGAGTAGCAATAGCTGGTTTCATTTTTTTCAAACAAATATTTCCTTTCAGATCTTACTAGATTTTGATCTTGGCCTCATACGTCAGAAAGTAAATTCCTTGGCCCAGAGGAAGTGACAACTGTTCATTACAATATGGCGCAAGCCGGATTCTCCTGTGCCCCATTCTGGCCCAACAAATAATCTGCATGGTATTCTTTTCCTGTCTCTAGGAATCTCGCCCTCCTCAAGAATTTCACCTCTGGGCCTGAAATTCCATCACTCAGAGTTTCACTCATTTGTGTGTAGAAGATTTGCTGGTTTTGATTCCCTGGTTTTCAGAACTTGCGCAATTTGAATACAGATGGCAGTTATTGACAGTTAATACCTTATAGTTTAGTCAAACTCTGATTAGCGTGATTTCCAATCTCTGTCAGGATGAGACTCTGGATTAGGACCTGGGGAAGGGAATCCTGGGAGAGGAAGAGAAGAAAGTAAAAAAAAGGGAGTCAAACCTATATCCCTCCCACCCTGTATGTGCCAGGTGTAAGATCCACAGCATATTATCTTCATGACATCCCAGTGAGGCCCATTTGAAAGAGAAGGAGACTGAGATTCAAAAGGCTGAGAAAATGGCTCAGGATCACACAGAGCGTACTTACTTTACTTGAACCTTGGTGATTTTTCTATGTCAATATATGTAGATTCAATTTCAAATATTTTTCTTTCAATCAACCCATGTCTCTTGCATTAGGTATTATGTATCTTTTGTTTTTTTATGTAATGAATATTAAACTAATATAAAGTTACAGTAGTACCCTCCTTATTTGATATTTTATTTTCCATGGTTTCAGTTACCCACAGTGGTTCAAAAATATTCAATGGAACATTCCAGAAATAAACAATTCATAAATTTTAAATCGCGCACCGTCCTGAGTAGTAAGATGAAATCTGGCACCATCACACTCCGTCCTGCCAGAGACGTGACTCATCCCTTTGTCCAGAGTCTACACACTATATGTGCTCCCCGCCCATTTGTCACTTAGTGGCTGCCTGGGTTATCAGACCCACTGTCTTGGTATCGCAGTGCTTGTGCCTATTTTACTTAATAATGACCCAAAGCGCAACGTAGTAATGCTGGCAACTCAGATATGCCAAAGAGAAGCCAGAGAAGCTGTACATGGCTTCCTTTAAGAGAAAAGGTGAGTACAGTAAAACCTTGGATTGTGACTAACTTGGTTTGTGTGTGTTCCGCAAGACAAACAAACATTTCTAATACATTTTAACTAGGTAAACAAGCGATGTCTTGCAATATGGGTAGTTTGTTTCCGGAACGAATTACGCTTGCAAACCAAGGTATTATTGTGCAGTACAGTACTGTTTTGAAAGAGAGACCACATTCACATAACTCTTATTACAGCATATTGTTTTAATTGTTCTATTATTGTTGTTCATCTCTTCTTGTGCCTAATCTATAAATTAAACTTTATCGTACACATGTATGTGTGAGAACAGATGTTGTATGTTTAGGGTTCAGTACTATCCGCTGTTTCAGGCATTTACTGGGGGCCTTGGAACATATCCCCTGGGGATAAGGGAGAACTACTGTACTATATATTGAAGAAGCTATTATATATTAAATACTATATATATATAATATATACTATATATAATATTGAATATATATTATATAGAATGAAGAGGGTTTATCTGTTTGTCACCACATCAATGTATATGCCAGACTCCCAGGAACAGCAGCTACAATTTAGGAAGCAGCCCCACACTAGAGAGCAGCAGCTCTTGCAAGCAAGAAGGGGCCAGAGATTGTTGGTGGAGCGAGCCCACTTGGGCCAGTGATAGACCAGCTCACAGCTTACTCGCTCCCCCTGGGTCTCCTACAGAGCCAGGGGCAGGGCAGCAAGCAGCTCAGCAGAGAGGGCAAATCAGCCATGACCTGGGAGCCACAGCCATGGTCTTTTGTTGTGTCCTTTGGAAGACTTATTACTTGATGGGAGAGACGCTCATTTGTTGTTGAGGTGAGACTCAGGCAGTAGTTCTCCAAATCAGATTCTGGTGCCAGGGCTCATCCCTGATGCTATCTTCACTGGTCATCAGTGAAAACGTGGTAACATTTCCATCCATCCTTTCTTGGAGAAGACTGTGGGTTTTGTTTTGGGTTTTTTTTCCCCTAGAATTATGTCCCTTTGAAAGTGTCATTGCCCTTTTATATTTTAGGAAATAATGGGAGAGTTAATGGAAATTTGTGTTTTATTAAAACCCTTACTTGGGAAAAAAAAGGCAGGTTGCATAACCATCTCTGTGCATATATGAGAATATTTCTCTAGCATATCCACACATGTTCAGAAAGATACATAGATAAGGAAATAGGGAATGTTGAATGAACCATGACAGAGTGACATTATGGAATTCGGTACAATAGTCAGAAAAGAATGAAACAGAGCTGCAATGATGTAGAAAAATCACCAAGGTTAAGAAAATAAAGAACCTGAAGTAGAATATGATGCCTTCTATATAAACAAACCATCCAAAGTGGGTACTTCTATATGGACCTATGTGTGTATGTAATTATATAGAGAAAGTTCCGGGAGCTGGCATAGCAAACTGATAACAGTGGTTCCCGTTTTGGAAGACACTAAGATTAAATGGATGTCACCAGACTTTTGCTTTATCTATATTGTTTGACATTTTTAAATAAGGAGAGCATGTTTAGCTACTACTCAGGCAATTGAGAATAAAGAGTTTAATGTTCCAAACCTTATGTCAGTTCCCTCTTATGACTGTATATATTATAATTTCTGTTGTTAGCATTATTATTATGATGTTTAATTTTACCAGTCATTGAAAGTCAAAATCTGGGCATTTTTAAAAGGACTTGTGATCTCTCTTACCAAATGTTGTAGTTGAGCCTTATGGGAATCAGAAAAGGCTGAGATGGAACCAGAAATGGTTTAAAGGGTTACACACCCAGACTTCCACCAAATGATTCATACTAGAAATTCTAGATACTAGAACAGACTCAAAACAAAGATTCAATAAACATGATAAAGTGCACAAAAAGGTCATCTTTACTAATTATCAGCACAATAATGATGCATCTTAAAAAGGTAGCATAAAAAAATAGTTCAATATTTGAAGTGTAGCACCAAGACTTTTATTCACATCATTTAAATGAAGTAGATTTTAATTCTTTGAAACTCAGTGTTGTAATAGTTCATGTATAATAAGAGTTTGCACACTTTTTCTGTTACCACTGTCCCTCTAAGGTTCACCAAAGCACTAACGTTATCATCCCGTGTTTGCGTTTGGAAAAACCACACTGGGCATTGGGTACTGATTTGAAAAGGATGCCTGTGCTGCTTGTTCAAGTTTACAGGAATACACACTAGAGAATCTGGCGTCTACTTCGTTTGTCTTTTCCCCTCACCATCCACTCAGCCCCTCAGACTTTTAAAGCAAATCCTCGCCCTCAGCTCAGCCATAGCCCGAAAGGATCCAAGTTCAGTTTTCAAGCATTTGTCTCTTACATCATCGTCAGCCCCACACACTACACTTGGAATCGACATCAAGGTAAGCCTTGGGGAGAGATCAGATTTGTAGAACTGGAAACTTCAGGCCAGTACGACAGCAGTTCCTTGGACATTCAATCCAAAGCCCCAGGTTGTGGGGGAAGAGGGGGCGAGCTGACGGATCAATGCCAGAGACCAGCCTGCCTCTGGAACTGCTCCAGGCCCTGATGCAACCAACAGCCATGGAACTGGGCAAAGGACAGACATCTCTGCTGCTCAGCGTGCATTCATCATTGCCTCTTACCTGGACCAGGGTCCTGAATTCTTGCACAGATGGCACAATCATTTCCTTTTCTTGTAGCCTCTGGATTGCAGATGATTTGGGGGATCCTTTTGTTCCCTTGGAGCTCAAACTCAGAGCCCCCATAAACACTGTTGTTTTTCCACCTAGAAATTGAGTTTTCACACTTTTCTTTCTCTTTATTAAAAAGTGTAAAACAGTTAGCTAGGTCTTTAATGCCACAGGGTGTGCAGAAGATCAGCTCACATCTACATTCCACGCCCTGTAAAGTCCAAAGCCCTCACTAAGAGTTCTGTAAGCTAGATGTTAAGATGAAGGCTACATGTCTGGCCTCACTGTCTGCATTTGAAACCTCACCGCACCATCTCTCAGCCCCATGATCTCAGGTTAAGTTATTTAACCTCTTTGTGCCTTTATTTTCTTTTTTTGGTGTGTGCAGTAGATATAATAATAGTATTTCATAGGGTTAATATAAGGATTAAATGAGGAAATGGTGGTGGAGGATTTATTGTAGGGCCAAATATCATAATTACTCTATAAATGTTAGCTATTATTATTCATATTATGAGAAGTCCTTGGTGACAAAATAGCTACAACAAAGTAGTGGAATAAAAGTGTCCATGTTGGTTCCCATACATCTGACCATAAAAGATAGATAGAGTCAACAGATATCAAAGCCTTGAATTTACTGGTTTAAGCCCTACTGGCGGAATTCATAGTATCAATCAGTTGGCAGGAAGCCTGGGTGAGGAACCCTCTGATTCCATCTCAGCCTTTTCTGACTCCAGTTAGTCTAGAGCAGGGGTTGGCAAACCTTTGAAACAGAAGAGCCACCAGCGGTCAGCAAACTGCAGCTCTTTGGGTATGTACATGTGGCTCTGAAGTAAAATTGAAAATAAAAATAAAACTATCATAGTCTCATTTATAACATTTTTAAAGGATATGATTCACATAATGGTGATTATGTAAAAATATATTGATGGCTCTCGAATAATTTTTAAATTGTTGTGGGGGACAGGATTGGCTCTTCCAGGGATCGGCAAACTTTTGAGATGGAACATACCCAAAGAGCCGCATGTGGCTCGCGAGCCGCAGTTTGCCGATCTCTGGCTAGAATGCAATGTTTGGAGAGAGCGACCACAAGTCCTTCCTTTAAAATAATCAGCTGAATGTCCAGTGGCTGTCACATGAGATTTCCACTAGTCC